TTTATTTTAGTTTGCATGATGATCTGAAAGGAATTCTATTTATTGCTCGACAAAAAAAGTGTTAGAAAACCCTTTATTTTATGGATTCTGAGAAGATTAGGTCTAGGTAAATATTTGAAATATTAATTTTACTTCGAAGTTGACTTGTTCCAACAATAGCTAATATCGTCTTTAATCCACACTGACTCTCACATAGGGGGGCATATACCGAGCCTAAGCTACTCTGACTCGGTTAGACTTACGTACAAGCCTGTTCACATACATTTTAGAGTTTTTTTCTGCTCTATAGATTTCTTTTTTTTGTTAGGAAAAGTATGGTATCAAAAGATTTTATAACTTGTTGAACATGATTATTAGATAGATTTAAATAAGAAGATACCTTTTATATGAATGGATTGGGGAATATAATCTCGAAGTTTGTCAGGAAATGGAACTCGATTGATTGGTGATGTAGTTTGATGAGCATACGAGAAACACTTATCGAATGTAGTTGATACTCTTGGTGATGAAGATTTTTGATAATCTAGTTTATTAATATCACATGCAAACGTTTTTGCAGCATCAAGAATCGGACGATACCCAGTACATCGGCAAAGATTTCCATCAAAAGCTTCCTCAATATCTTCCATTGTTGGTAATGAATTATCTTTTGATGTAACTGTTCCATATAAAGACATGACCATACCTGGCGTACAAAAACCACATTGTGAAGCAAATAATTGTGCAAGACGTATTTGAGTATGATGAAGGTTTGATTTACTAGTTGAGCCTAACCCTTCCACAGTGACAACATGACATCCATCAACCGAGCATACAGGTGCTAAACAGGCATTTATTGTTCGATGTTCGATTTCACCAGAATTTCAATCAATACATCGTGAAATTAAGACTGTACAAGCTCCACAACCACCTTCACCACAACCTAATTTCGAACCAGTCAATCTTAATTCTAGATAGAAAAAAAATTAAAATGGATCACATTTACGAATATTTTCGCTACTTACTATTTCTTAAATACCAAAGAAGATTCCATTCAGGTTCAACATTACGCTCAAGAATTTCTTTCCCATTTACATAAAACAAGAGGTGACCAACCATCGTGATGATTTTTCTTCAACTACCTATTGTTCTGTGCACAAAAATATGTGTTTGATCAAAGATTAGAGATAAAATAATTGAAGAGAAGAGAACAAACGGTATTTTATATGCTATGAGTCGGTTAAAAAAGTTTCTTTCTTTTAGTCAGTAGAAGCAAGTGCACTTCTTGTTATCAGTATCTATTTGCATTTTTTTTTCGTTAGTATATAACGCCAAAAAAGAATATTCACCTAGTAATCGAGACAGCTGGAAGATACTAATGGTTAACGAAGTCACGTAACTCTTCAGCATGTGATTGAATACTTGATTTTATTTTGCTAATTCTTATTAATGACAAATGAAGGCTTTGCAATGTATCTTCTACAGCTATAAATATTTCTTTCATGTATGCCAAATGCTGCTTTTGTATGTTAAATGAAACATGGAAGATTGCACGGATTAAATCTTAAAGTGTATCATTCCTTAAATTCATCTCTAGATATTTATATGGCAAATGAAAGGGCACAAGTCACTGTATATTTCTGCATAGTTCGTTTGGAGTTAGACCTCAAGAGGGTGTGGGTGTGGATGAAAAAAAATTTAAACCTACAACCACATTCATGTCACATCCACGCCACATACTCACGCCTACACCCTTCTCAGAATTCCAGAGATTTCCATGAGATTTTGTCGGATTCTCAAGGATTCAGAATTCTGGGAATTCGCCGATTCCTCCTTGGCTCTCAGTAAGTATGATTTCATCAGGACCGAATATTTCAATCGATGTTTAAGCGATTAGTTTGGAAGAATGTGCTCTGACTATTTGTAAAAAAAAACATTTGATAAGCAAACACTAATAATTCATATAAATTTTTGAAGTTATAAACATTTTTTAAATCAGTTTGAAACTCCGAAAAAATAGAATCCATGATTGTGAAATGATCAAATTGATTTATTAATGAATCGGTATTCATTTTAATGGCCACTTTACCATTATTTATTTGAAAAAAATGCATTTTAATGGTCGAAATGGTCTAACTACAAATAATAAGGCATTTTAATGAGCATTTTTTCATTATTAACTTGACTAGGTTGTTTTCTACCCCATCAATCATCTTCATGGTGATTTCAATCAGAAAAACGACTTAAATTTACCAGTACGTCTGTTGCATTGCTAAGAGAAGAAAATTAACAAGGAAACAAAAACAAAAACTTATTCGAAAAATTAGCGTAAAAAAGAAAAGTAGAACAGTCTATTTCAATTGTTAGTCAGTTTCGTCAAAATAACGACGAAGACAATTTATGAAGTATTGCTGCGAACAATCATATGATAGTAGGCTCCACGTCGTTTCATTAAATCTACATCTGTACCACTTTCTACCAAGTATCCTTTGTCAAGAACGCAGATCAAATCACATGAACGAATCGTCGACAGACGATGAGCAATGATCAGTGAAGTTCGAGTTGGATCGTCTGTTTGCGCTCTTTCAAGAGCTTCTTGTACGATCTAAACATATCGAAAACGACTATATGATTAATGAACATTGTAAGAAAGTGAACCTGTTCATTGTATGAGTCCATGGCACTTGTTGCTTCGTCTAGCAGTAATACTTTTGGTCGACGAATAAGAGCTCGAGCAATGGCAATACGCTGTTTCTCACCACCTGACAAGTGTCCACCTTTCATTCCCACTTTGGTCTCATAGCCCTCTTATGACGTCACAAAGACACAATCAAATATCATGTATTATTCTTTTCTCACTTGAGGTAACTGCTGAATGAAATGATGAATGTTGGCTTTGGTGGCTGCATCGATAATCTCTTCAATCGATATGTTGTCTCTACCATATGCTATGTTCTCAGCAATAGTCAAATCAAACAAAATAGGCTCTTGCCTAACAAGACCAAGACAGAAGCGAAGCCATTGAATATTCAATTCTCGAATGTCAACACCATCGAGACACTAAATTTCATTAGCCAAGCGTTTACATGAATATACTGACAATAAAAAAGAGAAATACTTACGATTCGACCTTGTATGGGATCGTAAAATCGCTCCAAGAGCTGAATGACTGTTGCTTTACCACCACCAGATGCACCTTTATAAGTAGATTATATAAGTACTTTGAATGAATAACAACTGACTTCGACATACCTATAAGGGCCACACGCTGACCTAATTGACCAATAGATAAATTTCATCACAAACTAAATTGAAAATACATAGGAAAAACTCACCAGCTTGGATGATCAATTGAAATTTATTCAAAATACAGAATGTCGGTCGAGATGGATACGCAAATTTGATCTGATCAAATTCGATCTCACCTTTAAAATCACTCTATTATTAACACATTTCAACAATGAGATCCGAGTAATCTGTTTAAAACTCAGACTTTTACTAAATGAATCACTTACCAATTGTTGACCATCCATAGAACAATTGTTAATGGCTGATATTCGATCGAACAAATGGAAGAAATTTCGAGCTGCTGATAATGAGTCACTCATCTGTCGCGTTCTGAATAAAAGCACTTGAGGAAAAGAAATCAATCGGTGCAATGACTTACAAGATCATGATGCATCGTCGAGCTTCTATGGAGAAAGTATAATAGGCAAACACGCTAGAAAAATATATAGGTAAAATAAATCTTAAAGATTTCTATTTTGGTACATAGAGATATTGTTCATGTTCAGTTCTTTGTGTTCAACAAGGATGAGAGTCTGCCAAGAAAGAAACGACAAGACAAATGATCCCATTCCCCACTGGATACTGTGTAGTAACGCGGATATTATTATATCATTTCGATGAATTCTATGCGAAAATAATGCATAGAAATTAAGGAAAAAAGCGATTGAAAGACTGACTTGAACTCTTTGAGAACTAAATGCGAGAATTGACGTAAAAATTCTGCCTCGCTTGCCAGCTGCTTCACTGTACGCATGTTGTGAATGATCTCGACAGCGAGCTATTAGTAAAAGCAGATTCGCTATCAATATTTCAATGTACATGATATTGTAATCGAAATGTTGGTCTTACCGAACTTGCTAATTCAAGAATATCATTAGAACGTTTGTTCAATCGTGCTTGCCAACGAATTTGCATGACAGCAATAACAAATAAAGAGACAATATAGAAGAGTACGATTAAAGTCAATTGCCAACTGACAAAAACTCCGAGAACAACACCAATTCCAAGCATTGCGATTGACTCACAAACGATGCCTAGACGAGCCCCAGTAATCTGCTGAATAGCCAATGCATCAGATGAGAGACGATTGCAAATAGCTCCCGAGCTATTTTCAGGACGATCAAAGAAGGCGACTTCTTGGCGCAAAAGGTGTGCAAAAGCTTTAGCACGGATACGCTCCGTCAATTTTGAGCCAGATACAGCAAATGCAGTGTACTATTGATGTAGAAAATATAAAACGCTTTATGAAGTATATTCCTACTTGTATAAAACGAATGACCAAAAAGGCAACACCCATCAACAAGACGAGGAGGGAAAATTTAAAAACTTGATGACGTCGCTCTTCGTAGATGCACGCTCCGAATGCCTTGAACAACCAATTATGATAATATTGATCGTGTTATACGAGAAAATCACTTACAGAAATTGTATTTGTGACTAGAATGACCTGGATTGATTGACCTGCTCCATAAATGAGGCAAGCCACGCAACCAATCAGAATAATGATCCACTCTGGACTGTTCAAAAGTAAAAGTCGCAAGAAGACAGGTAGGCCATTTGTAGTCGATGACATCTATTAAAAGTACTCTGTAAATGTAAAAACCATCTCGAGAAAAGTACATTCATGTTCTTTACTTTGTCTCCATCGTCAAGTTCTTGATGATTAAGATGTAGAGAGCGTTCAGCTAATGGAAAGAATGATCTTGTTTGAAATATTCTTTTGTTAAAAGTATTTACATACATATTTTTGTTTGATCATCATCATCTTCTGTTTGTGTGAAGCTCGTTCTTTCATCGATATCATTTTCTATTCTCTGTTGAGCTTTCATCATCTCGCAATATCGACTTCCTTCGTTTAACATCAGTGTCTCGTGTGTACCTTGTTCGATGGCATGTCCATTATCCAACACATAAATTCGATGAGCATTTCGAATTGTTGCCAAACGATGAGCGATAACAATAGTCGTCCGACCTAGATGTAACTATAGATGATATAATTGAAACAGAAAGATGTGTGCGAACCTTTACAAGCGCGATCGAGTGCTTCTTGGACGATCTTTTCATTGGCATTATCAAGAGTACTGGTCGCTTCGTCCAACAAAAGTAAGGCTGGCTGTTTGACAAGAGCACGAGCTAAAGCTACACGTTGCTTTTCACCGCCACTCAATTGAACACCACGTCCACCGACAACTGTATCATATTTCTACAAAAATAGAAAACATAGTGCATGTCATTAGAAACGAACATTAAATGCAAACATTAGGTAATTGCATAATAAAATCGTGTGCATTGACTTGACGTGCTGCTTCTTCGATCTCAATTCTTGTCGCATTTTCTTTACCCAAACGAATATTTTCATAGATACTTGTGGCAAAGAGAATCTACATAGAACAATATCAAATGCAAGAATCAAAATAGAAAAGACCGACATACAGGTTCTTGACTGACAACAACAATCTTTTGTCGGAGTTTTTTGAGATTGTAATCAGTAATCGATCGATTATTAATTGCAATGCGGCCCGATAAAGGTTCATAAAAACGAAACAGAAGTGAAACACATGTGCTCTTGCCTATTCGATCGAAAAATATTAGGCTATCGAAGTCCAATGATGTTTTTCTTTCAAAATACTCACCGGCGCCACTTGAAACAACTAATGCTGTTATCTCACCTGCACGAGCCATCAGTGTGAGATTTTGTAGGACTAAGACATCAGGTCGAGCTGGATAAGCAAAGTCGATATCGTCAAATTGAATATCACCATTCATGTCTATAGTTTCTTCACAAACAACTGAATCTTCCAATATTTGTGTCTCATTCATACTTGTCTTCTCTTCCTATATGAGGTAATAGAGAAGAGACTGGATCGTACATGAAACAAAACTTTACCTCATCGATCAATCGGAATATGGGCGCTAAAGCACCTCGAGTTTCTTCTAATGATTGAAAGAAAGGACTAATAAAGGCTACATGACTGATAGTTCTTGCCAAAATAATCACTATCTACTCAAACATCGAGAACCTATTGATTTCTGAAGTCTAATTTATGAACTGAATAATTTACCACAAAAACATCCCTGAAATAGGGTATATCACGTCTTGTACCATGCAAGAGAGATAAGCCGGAGGTAAAACCAACTGAATAAATGATGTATCCTATAAGAGAGATCCATCCAGTGAAAAGGCCAAACGCGGCACCCTTGCGTACGCTGCTCCAACGAGTTGCCTGTAATTTGCTTTCGTATCTAAATACACAAAAAAATTCGAACATGGCCATGGGTCATGGCTTACAAAGTTTGCTTATAAGTATATATATTCCTTACCGTTTCTATTCAAATGTTTGACCATTAAGCGAAAGCACAGTACGAAGAGAACTGAATACTTCCTGAACGACCTCTCCCGCTTTTGAGTACGTATCCAATTCGTTTCTTGATTCATTGGCAGTGAACTTTTAGAATTAGTATAAGCTAAATTAATCATCAGCAATTACATCTACCTTTGAAAAAGTATATGAGCCGGCAATAGTTAATGACACAATGCACAGTAGAACAAGTGTCAACTTCCAATTGATGATTAAGGCAGCACAAGTATTGCCAATAGTGGAAAATAATGCTATGAGCACTATTGCCAAATCAACACCAATGCCTTTACTCAAATGATCAATGTTGCTATGAGATGATAGAGCAAGATATCATGTCTATTTCAAATATCGATCGACAGATGACTTACTTGAACAGTTTGACATTGAACTGACTAATCGAATTCATATCGCAATAGGAAATATTCTAGAAACGAGAGAGACAGAGAGAAAGGGTGAAACAATCCCCATGTACAACCATCAACTGTCGTGAAGTTGTAACAAATACGACTGAATAAATGGTTCGTTCGTTATTCTTCGATATCTTCATTGATTATCATCGCTCAAGCTTATCCTCTTTTGCCAAAATATGCACTATATAATTTTTCACAAATGATATGTTTTATTCGATGAATATAGTTTTCATTTTTTAAAGGCCACAGAATTGTATGGAACTATTAAGTATAGTTTTTGAATCTTTTTTTGTTTTTCAACTTCTCTCTTGTAATATTTTAACTCCTAGAATATTGAGACTTGTATTGTGGTGCTCTCAGAGATTGTCGATTTCTTCTGTGAATCGACTCACCATATATAACGCTGATTTTATGAAATTTGTTGAAATCATAACCTGCGAAAGCATCATAAAACAAACTACGACAGTGTAAGAGTTGAAATGCTACAGAAAAAAAGTTGAGAAAAACAAAACTTTTGCCAATATTACTTGATGATTCCATACAGTTCTGTAGCTTTTGAAAGATGAAGAAAACTGCATTTATCTGATAAAAAAAAGGCTTCCAGTGTGATCCTTACGAGATTAAAATTTAGCAGCCGATAAAGTCACTGTGTTCATAACCGAGAAACCTATCTGTGCTTGTCTCGATATTTTTGACAACGAATGAATAGTACATCGAAAACTCCTTGAAACGGCTACCGATCGTGACAGAAATGCTGAACACTCCTAGCAATGTTTATCACGGTCAGTGGGATAGGATGAGAAAGGAGTCACTTTTCTCACAATTTACTTCAACAACCATTCCCAGTCATGTTTCACAATATGTTATTTTGTAGACAATTCCATAAGTCTTCCTTTTAGAAAAAGTACAAATGTGAATGATGATAGTCAATGGAGATATCGAGAAAACAGTGAGGAGGCCATTTATTGTGCTTCACTCGTTATATCTGCGTAAAGATGAATGCGTTTGACATACGCGTTGCAGCAGTGATTGTAAAAGACGAATACGTATTCGAGAGGTTTGCCGTGTGGCCGTCATGGTGAAGAGAAAATAATGGAGAGCAATGCACGATATGTCCACTATACCCATCGCTACGCACATTCAAGATACAAATCATTATTTGATTTCATATCTGAAGAATTAGTTTATTTCTGCTTACTTAATAGCCAGTGTAATTTGTTTCTTATATCAGTATTAAATCTGGTCATAGACGACGACCATCGTGGCGCTAATGTGATACTCTCATTCAGGTAGAGTCTGAAATTGATCAACAGTGAATAAATATAGAAACTGAAGCATGTCAACGCTTTACGTGATCATGACTTACTTTTGTGATCGATCATAGTTGAAAGTATTTCTCTCAATGCACCATGGACTTCCTCTACTATTGCTAGCAGTAATTGATGTGTTCTGTTGTAGAGGGCACTGATCAATAAAAGATTGCGACGCAAATGCACTCGTGAGTTGATCAAAAACAACGGTAGTTGTTGTGTAGGCAATGCTCTGTAGTATGGCGACGCATAAACCGAGAGCTATTATCAGAAGATCAAGCCAATCAGCAAAACGAAACTATCGCAAAGTTAAACAAACACTTCGTTATTTAATATTTATTCTCTCTTGGTACACTTACTAGTTGAAAATATCCAATAATTGGCTCAGTGCTAGTATGATGATTATTATCATCCAACGTTTCATACTGTTTATTGAGCTGTTTGAAAGCGAAACATTGAAGCCAATTGGATAACCTGTATGAATACGACATTATCTGTGATACCTTTCTAAAGTTCAATTCTATCTTACTTGTTACTCAGTGATCGTTTTCTATTTTTATTGCTATCATTAGTAGAATAGTGGTCTACACCTGATATTAGCGGTTGTGTATCACTCATGATGGGATGTACAACGCTTTACGATTGGAAGTAACCGAAAATTAAAACACCTAGACAGCACAAGATAGGTATTATGTGCGATTTATTGAACTTGAATGTCGATGTACCTTTCGCTTAAAATAAGATGCATCCAAAATATTATGTGTTATTTATCATTCGATAGAAACAATGATGCTCTATGTACCTGATGTGTATTAGAATCGAAAATAATATTGATAGAACCTCGAACACTTTAAAATATCTGAAGTCCTATGAGTTTTACGGAGAAGTTAAGTTTTTTAGGTTCGATAAAATGCAAACACAACTCACAACACATCATTTGATAGAGAAAACAAAACTAAATAGAACTATGTCTTTGATTCCTAAAAATCGTTATGCAGAATGTCCCAAAAGTCATCTAGCAAAAACAGAATTATATATTTCCATTAGGGTTTCACCGAACGAACTAGTTTTTGTTCTATGGATAGAGAACGCTTGCAAGTTTTATTTCATAAATATAAAGTTCATAAAGACTTGTGAAAAGTGACACTTTTAGACTCTATACGCAAAAAAGTTTTTTTAAGTTTCGGGAAATAATATAGAGGGTTTTTGCAATTTTTTTCATTATTGTGGATTTTGAGTCATCTAGGTCTCTTTCTCTCTCTTTAGAAACAATTATTTAACGCCTTCGAAAAATGTGAAGTTATTAGTGTATTTCTTCAAAGTGATTTGCTGGTCGCTCATCAGAAAATTTAATGCAAACTGAACTGAGTAAACTGTCGCAATTTTAGGGCTTCCGTGGTCACCAAACTTCGCAGCCATGTGTCTAATTTATTGCAAACGTCAAAGAAATATTGATATAACAAGAGAAGGAGAGGTGATGGCGGATAGATTGATGCAGTTTTTAATGAAAAAGAAGTCCTATGTATAGAACCACTTTGACATAAAACATATTCTACATCAGTAAGATAATTAAAATTCGATTCTTCACATAGTTGTGGACGATCGTCACACAATTTTTCGTCCTCACCTAATAAGCAATCTTTAATACCATCGCATAGTCTCTCGTGTTCGATACATGTCCTGTCATTCTGACAATAAAATCCTTAAGTTTGAAGATCGCCATAGTTCTTTCGACAATATTCAAGTTCATCGGATGCTCCAAGACAATCAATAATTCTATCACCAACTTGGTTGGCCGGCAAACAAAATAATGTAGAATTATGTGGTAAAATACAAGGAAGAAAATATTTAGGACAAATCGGACGCATGCAATTTTCTTCATCATCTCCGTATTTACAACTCCAAAAGCCATCACATCGTGTGTAGATATTGTTGCATTGCCAATGTTCACAATCGGTCTCGTCCGAATGATTTCGTCCATCGATTATTATCGGAGACAGATCGACAGCTCGATCACAAATTTCATAAAATAATATTTCATCGAAATTTTTCTGTCTTTCAATCTGGCAGACGTCTGTTAGCAACGAAATTGATTGACACAGAGCATCACTAAAACATTGAAATCGATACAGATGATCCAACGAACAATTCAATTCAGATACTTGTTCGTCATCGTTCAAAAAACAATCTGAGATGCCGTCAACGAGCCGATGTTTCGAAATATATTTCGAAGAATTCTTGCACGCATACAACGATGAATAATGTGCATCAATATCATGATAATGTTGAGTGATGCAACCACGAAAATAGGGTTTGACTAAATCGATGATTGATTTCCAGTTGTTCACCTCGACATCCGATCCAAGACCCATTTCATGACCATATCGACAAGTCAAATTTTCATTATGAAATGTAGGCATGAGAAAATCACATAGTTTTTCATCATAAAAAACATAATCAGGTACGAGAGCTAATTCGATACTGATATTAAAAATCTGTTTCGGATGGTATAAAAAGCGTACATGACCTAAGAGTACGGGAATAGTTGGAAATTGAATAGGATATTTACAAGTTTCTAGTCGAGGAAGAATCTGAGAAAGGTTAACGAACTGTTCACATAATACTTCATCAACTTGATCGGTGATTTTACTGAGACAAACCATAGCTATCCAGCAACCGTATGGTAG